TTGGGCACTTCACCATATTTAATGAGTTGAATGACTTAGCTGATTATTGCAGCTGTAGTGGATGACAAGGATAGGTCTTCTCACTGGACTTGTTCAAACTATACAGCGAGGCAATTTTGAAAGAATTAGATGTTCTGCCGGGAATTGTTCTTTGGAGGCCATGATCTTAACCTAGGATATGCAGATGACACAGTGTTCATAGCAGACAAAGAAAAACTACAAAATCTGCAGAATGCTAACAAGTGTTGCACTTTCCGTCCTCTGAATTCCGAAGAGACATTAAGATGTCTAAAAATGCCTTGTGAAAGCTAAGCAGATTATTAAGAAATAGAAAAACTTTGTGCTACTTGACATCAGGTTGAGGCAGTTGAAATTTCTGGGACACGTAATGAGGAAAGAGGACTTGGAAAACGGCGCGTAATATAATGGATGGTAGAAAAATAGTAAGACAAAACTTATTGAGCTACAAGTGACAGAAAGATGGGAAAGGCCATGATCGCCACGGCAGATAAAGAAATAGATTAGAACCTTGCTGGGTACCCGATTGTAGCGCCTTGTGCCAAACTAAGCTAAGTAAATAGTAGATGCCTAACATACGGATTCGTGTCGTGAGTTGGATCCACATAGGGGCCTCACTATTGGGGCCTTTTTCCAATAATAAGTAATGTAAATATGTACCAATGTTGTAAAATCAGCACCATCCAATAGTGAGGATCGAACTCACTACTCAGCCGTAACTGATTTAGTGAGACCACATTACATCGAAGTGCTCCAAATCAGCACTAATCAATACACGCCTTTACATTCTTGGTTGCTTAAGGAAATAAATGAAGAGTTATGCACGAAAGGAAAATATGCCAACCGGATAACCATGGTCAGAAGCTGAAAGGACAATTTCCGGTATTTCGTTTTGATACAAATATATAATATGCACACACACACACACACACACACCAAAGGGATGGATGCTTTTACATTACTGGATGACGCACCAGTCTCCGGTTGATCATATCTACATTGTTAAGAATTTGGTTTTGACGGCAAATAACTTTATCTTTTGTAAGTTCCTGCTAGGAAAGCGGAGAAAAACATAACAGTATTTCCGTTCTGGTTTTCGACAATTTCCGTCAGCTAAATAATAAAAAAAAAAAAAAAAAATAATAATAATACAAAAAAAAAAAAAAAACTGACGATTACACGAGGTTAAAACATTGATATGAATAATGGCGAGGCCCTTGACTTTTCGTTTTTGAAAATACTTCGACAGGCGTCAGGCCGAACACTTCATGCTTGATCGATATCGATTTTTTTTTTATTGGTTGTTTACAGAACTTGAGATTTTACAAAATACACACATTATTAAACCCCAACGTTTTAATCAGAGACATTAATTTTTATATTACATCATTGATGCACGCTAATATAGTCTTGGCCTAACCCACTTCCCAGAATCCGGCTCAAGAACCAAACACCTTATTTTTAAGGGGGTGTTTTGATAAGGACAAAAACTTTTAAACACCCTCATTTATAGACACTGTTTTCTCAGGTACGCTCACTTTAATTCCTAATTACTGGCAGAACTTTTTTTTTTTTAGTTTTCCATAGTAAAATCAATGTTTTATTTTATAACTAAGCATAACTGGTAAGAGGGACTTGTTTGCCAATAGAAGCTAGAGGGCTAGTTCTACTTTACTATTTTACCCATAGCTGGGAGAAGGAGAGAGACTTAAATCCTACAGTATGAAGTGGGTGTAAACAAAAAAAAATATGGTGTAGTGAAATGTGGCAACATGCTTACCTCAAGTTGTAAATTATATTCTACGACCTTAGGGTACTTCGACGTGGCGTAATGGTGAGCAAGCGTGTCTCTCTAGATCAATTACGACTGAGTAACGAGTTCAATCCTCATTGGGTGCTCTATGCATTCGACCTCATCCCATGTAAGCTGCGCTTAGAACGACCTTTAAGGTCAGAAGCAAAGACAGGAAATAAAATAGTAGCGTTCAACGAATTTTGAATTCTTATTCAGTATGCAAGTTAGCCTGTCTCACATAGACAGCGCCTTACCTGTTAGGCCACAGAGTTTAACCGACAGGCGAAATTCAAATTAATGATATTGCTACATTTTTTTCCTCTTCTGTGACTTATTTATTTTTTAAAGATGTCTAAAGATTGAAATAAAGCTAATCCGAAAAAAAAAAAAAAAAAAAAAAAAAAATTTGCTATATATTACTCAATTTTTTTTCCTGTCTTGACCCATACCCAGCTTCCAAAATATCAAAGCATAACTGAAACATTTACTTAATTCTACCGGCGTTAGGAAATTTGAAAAAAAAAAAAAATACTGAGTAAACATTTTTTTTTTTTTTTTTTATTAAAGTACATGCATAATCGGAGGTTAGTTCGATAGAGGGAAATAAAGAATATGTTGCGCCAATCTAGATGTAAAATCTGTAATATTCGCGAGGTTAGCTTGTCTGACTTCTTTTATACTAATGTCGGAAAGCAATAGTTTTATCCTTTTCTTTAAATACATTGTAATTTTATTTTTAAACCGGTCACCATTATTCTGTAATAAAGATTAAAATAAAATTTTGTAAATGCACTAAAACACACAGTTAGTTAAATGTTAATAAAGAGAGAAATATATTTTCTCTATTTGACTCTTGTATATTTTAATATTCATTTTGTAATGAAATTTAACGTCGAGCCTGGTCAGTAACTAGATGGATAACCGCTTTGGAATACCAGGTGCTGTAAGCTGGGATGTGCGGCTGATGTAATGGATAATGGCTCTGAATTGTTAATCGGAGAGCCGAGTTCGAATTCTCGTTGGATTTGTTATATTCACTTACGCGCTAAGAATCCAACTCGTCTTACCCTAGCTATGGGCTTACTAATGGTTTAGGGATAAAAGTCTTACTATCTATAAAATAAAATAAAAATCATATAATCTAAAAACAATTTTTTGGCTTTAAATAACCTACAAAGAGTTGATAAGCCTTAGAAAACGAATAAATCAAAAACCAATAGCCACTGAAGGCAAAGAATATCAAAATTAGGTGTGTAGTTTGCATGCAAGAATATGAAGAGAAGTTTATGGAGGATAGATAACAAGACTACACTTGAAAAGGTTAAGATTGTAGTGTTCAGAAAACCTACATGTGGGAGTCTGTTCCACAAAGTAGCGAATCTTGAGAAGGAGCTTTCTGAGGGACTGAGGTTGATTCAATGACGTGGACATAACAAATCAGGTTCTTGGATCTAAAGGTCTGGGCTGATGACACTAAAGAATGCAGCTCGTTTGCCATGAAAGTAGCGGTAGGCTCATTTTACTGGGTGAGGATGGGCCACCAACCCTACGCCCAATCAGTTTTCCTAGACTGGCCGCCAACCAAGGATAGTCCAGTTTGCCCTGCTATTTAAACTATAGAGAAAAGAGATGGCGTCATATTTTCTCAAAGGTGTTTGTGAGAAAATGGATGGGCCAAAATTTGAACGCTTACAGATATCACTTTTTATGCCGATAAGCACCGGTTCTACTGCCTTCTGCGTTCATTCATTTGAATCTTTCTTCGTAATGGTTAATTTAAAAAAAAACAAAAAAAAAAAAAACATCAGCCTTGAACTGCTATATCCTTCGGAGTTGCTTCATTCCGAAATCTATTAAATGAATGTGAATTGGGACCTTTTATTTAATCCATCCTTTTTTCCCCCATTTCTAATCTGTAACGTTCGATGTCGTGGTTCAGGAACTTCATAACTTGTAACCAAATGAGACAGACTTTAAAGACTAAGTATATAGTAACTGAAATAAAAAATAATAAAAAACGGACGAAAAAACATGTGAATTAATCAATGTATAATACTAACATCTCCTCTCAGAAATTCAGATTGAAATAAGGCCAGCAGATATTGAGGTTGAAAAGTGATTCCAATCATTAAGATCCCGTAACTCATTTAGTCCTGGGTGTGACGATAAACTACATCCGGTAGCAAAACCTTTGATCGGGAGATTTGGAGGTTTTGTGGAGCCACCCCTCTCTTAATTGCTGTTGTTCCCAATTTCACCCTGATCCGGGGTATTAGCAGTTTTAATGGCCTTAGCTATAGTAATCCCCGCCCAAACAATATGACAGTGTAAAAATACACTTTTATAGCAAAAATACCAGCAATACATTTTCTGTAATTGACGGCATAAAATTGCGTTCAAAATATTTAAATTTCTGCATTATAACCCATAGAGGTGTTGATATGCCGCTAAACAAAATCAAAAACCGTAAGCCATAAGCGTCGTTGGGTTTACCACATGATGCAGTCATAGTAGCAGCAGTGTTTCCTGAGCAAGACTGAGCCCAACCCTATCCAAGCTGGTTTTAATTCAGTGTTCCTAGACTGGGTCCTAGAACTCCTAGGACCCCGCTATTTAGCTATAGCTGGGAGAGAAGTGATAGGTTTTTATCTTCCCCAGGGATATTAGCACGTAAGTAATGAACTCTACTGGAATTCGATGAGGAAACTAACTTGAATGAATCGATGCACCTTTTCTCGGAAAGCCAAAGTGTAACGTGATAGAAACAAGGTGAACTGAATCAATGTATAATAGTAAAAGCTACCGTATATACTAACCTATTTCATGTATAGGACGACCTGTGAATTTTTTCCATGAATTTTAAGCCCCGCACCCAGAAAATTTACCTGTGTATAATACGACCCCCCTTTTTTTTGCGTAAACTCTAATCATAAAATCTCGGCCTCTACTCGAGTATATACAGTGTAACCCGGATATAAGAGAGTTGTCGGGACCGGAGAAGTAGTCTCTTATATCCGGGTTTGGTCTATTTTGTTTAGGTAAGTATGGGCTCTAATTTGGGACCAGAGAAAATCTCTCTTATATCCGGGGCACACTGTACCATAAGTGTTTTAGATAAAAATTATTTCTGAAGCGCATGTGTCAGGTTATTTTTCTTTGTTTATCTGATTTTTTTTTATCGTTACAGGAATGGAGTCGAATATTACGTTGTGGCAGTTTCTGTTGGAATTGCTACTTAGTCACCAACATCGCAACATAATACAATGGACGAACAACGAAGGCGAATTTAAACTGATCAACGCCGAAGAAGTAGCAAAGTTGTGGGGTCTGCGCAAGAACAAGACAAATATGAACTATGATAAACTTAGTCGTGCACTTCGTTATTACTACGATAAAAACATCATCAAAAAAGTGATGGGCCAAAAATTTGTTTACAAATTCGTTTCATTCCCCGAAATTGAGAAGATTGAAAACAAAATCCCATTCAAAGTGAAAATGGAAAGCTTAGCTATGGAATACGGACAGCGTGTTTACCCGCACTTTGTAACGCCAAGCACTGTCGAGGCGAGAAGCAGTACTGGGGTCTGGCACCACCCAAGCAGTAATGCTGCTCTCTCAGCCGTCGCCGCCGGTAGAAGTGATTCTGATGTGAAACGAGAAATAAGCGACTCCGAAGTCAAGATAGAGCGTGAATTCGAATGGGAAATAACGCAAAGCAGTAAGAATCACTCCTCGTCATCTTTGTCGCCATCATCATCATCTTCTACCTCGATCACCACTACTTCTTCCTCCTCCACTATTGCCTCTTCTTCCTCTTCCCTTTCCCCGTTGTCAGCCTCCAAAGAACGCAGCTCTGAACTGACGTCACCGGGCAGTGTCCCGAGCTCTTCCGTTGATCATCGGGAACATCGAACGAAGAGTCGCAGCCCGTCCTCGTCATCTTCGTCGATTGTGTCACCGGCAAGGCCGAAGCCAATCCCATTAAATTTGCACGTGGAGCAGGCGCCCTCTTCAGCTTTGTCCCCAGTTACTTCGATCCCCATTCACAGTCCCACCCTTAAAGTGTCGTCGTCATCTTTCTCCACCCTTCATACTCCCATACTTCTCGCTTCTCCAGTGGTCAGCCAGCGAACGCCTTTCCTTCATTTCTGGAGTTCTCTAAGTCCAATCGCCACCCTCAGCCCTCGTTACAACTCCGCAAGCGCCTTCCAGTTTCCTAGTTACCCCGGCGGACACTTAGCTATGCCAGTGACTCTTTCTAATTATAACAGTATGGAAGGCCTTGCTTCTCCAGTTCTAGTGTCATCGCCAACAAGAACTATACCGGTCTTATGAAATTATATGAATGATAATGTGAATCATTCCATCAAAATGAACACATTACCAAAAGACTTTAAAAGACACTAAATGGAATAATGAGGACATGGTGTTCTCTTTCATATGATTAAAAGTTTATTTTTGGGGCCGTGTTGAACGAAAGTAAATAAGAATCATTTTCTCCTTTTTATTATTATTTTTTTTAGTCGACATAATCCCACCATTCCGGTTTTCAAAACGAACAGTTCAATTTTGTTCAAAAAGACTAAGAAAGATCCCACCACATTTTGGAAACTGCGAGTTGGGATGATTAACAAAAAGAAAAAAAAAAAAAAAAAAAGAAGAAAAAAGTACTGTTTGTGTGTGGTTTGTTCCGGCTAATATGTGATTTTTATTAAATGGCGAATAATTAAAATGTTCTTCCTCCACCCAGCAAACGGAAAAGACAAAAACTTATTTCGTGAATGGACAAAAAAAAAAAAAAATCTCTTGAAAAGCGAAATAACTGCGGCTGGAAAATGTTGATTGGACTTAATGAACTTTATATTATTTTATTTTAGGCTTGTACCCGATATTATTTTATTTTAGGCTTGTACCCGAGCCACATAAACGAAGTGGTTCTACTCGATTGCTTCGCTCATCAGTTTCAACCAAAAGTGGAAAGAAGTGAAATATCAGATACCATTTCACTAATCACACTATCCTTGGATTTAATGTTACTTTAACTAAACGTCCGAATCATGTATGGTTTAATCGAGTTGCTTCCGGATGAAGCTTTTTTTTTATGTATAGACGTTATTTTTGTGTATATAACAAACACACGATGTGCAACTCAAAAATTCGAGGAATTTGAACATCATGCATCTAAAACGTCCGTTATGTAATCGTAACCTCTTAGTCAGGTGGAAACAGCAGGTACATTTTTTTTTTTTTTTTAAGCACGAAGCTTAAAAGCTTAACAATTAGTCTAACATTAAACATATTTTAAGGCCAAATCGGAATAGATTTTTAACGTAACTCATTCTGGCTATATATTAAGATTCAAACTTGAGAATTTGTTAAGCATGATCAGGCTCAGCTAAAATTACCTGATACTAACAAACAAACAAAAAAACGGTGTAAATTGTTCGTTCTGTTTTTCGCCTCATGGTTAAATTCATCGAACTTTTGGGTAGCATGTCGTACACATACAGTTATTCAAAATAATTTTGTTCTGTTGTGCTGTACTGGAAGCTACTTTTTGTGGTTGTGACTTGGTACATCACATCGAAGGAACAATTTGTTTCAAGAGACTTATTCCTTAATTCTACGGAACGAGTTGGACATTTTTTTTTTTATTCGAACGAAAGAACTTCATTTGAGTTGTTGGCTTTTTTTTTTCTTCTGCTTTCTTTCATTTTTCTTTTATTTACGCGTCTTTCTTCGGACATACAAAAGAAAAAAAAAATATGATTCCAAATTATTTGTCAATGTTTTATTTAACTATTCAAAATATTTTTTTCGTTTCCTTTCTTGAAGTTCTGAACCGATATTTTTGATAAGTCGGCTACATAAGAACGTACAAATAAAACAAAAAACAAACGATTTTGCTCAAACCTTTTTCTCCCCCCCCCTAATAGCACTTCTTTAAAAATACATACATACATAACATACATCACTTCTAATGTATACTAACGAAAGGACAACGGATGCTCATTCGTATCTTAAACCTATTTTCTTTGTAAATTTCAACTCATTTTTATTGCATACTTGTCCGACGATCTTACTAACAACCTCTCTCCAAGAAAACGAACAGCTATAACTAACAGTGTCTATTACGCATGTATAGTTTAAAACAACACTTCAAAAATAAAAATAAAAAAAAATAAAAAAATGTCGGATAAAATGGCTGCCAAAAGGATTCTATCCGGCTTCTCTTTTTCACTACAAGAGTCTCACTATTAATTTTTCTGAACCACGATTTCCAAATATTTTTTTTAATATATACAAGATTTTAACTGACAAGTTTCTGCCTGAAACGACAATGTAATTATTTTTAATATTTTTTCCAACCTGACATATTAGCTTTATGACAAAGACTAAAGACATTGTAAACAGACTCATGAACACAGCTGGAATCTGTTGTTACAAGCGGGAATAAAAAACATTAAAAAAAAAACAAACTGAAATTGGACGTTGTATGAGTATGAATGAATAGGTGTGTTGGTTTCTTATCGCACGGGGCATACAAGTTTGTTCCTAAAATTCTCATTTTATTTACCTCAAGTTAACCTCCCCCTCCATAGCTTCCTTTTTTTTTTTTTTTTTGCATCACGGTTTTGAATTCAGAACAGTCGCTTTTGCCTGTCGCGTTTAACCCATAGCTGAGGGGTCGGAAGAAGTGATTGACTCATGCCTTTACCAAGGGTATTTAGTGCGAAAGTAAACGTAACAGACAAGGCCGGATTTTGAAACTTTGTTCGCAGATTTCACTTTCGCGCCGATAACCCCCTCCCCTGTGCTGACCGCACATTCTCAGGTAAATCAACATCAAGCGACGATCAAACACACTGACAACGTCTTGCGAAACCAGTTTGCTGGTAATAACTCAATTACAGGCACTCGTAGAGCACCAAGTAAAGATCGACTCCCTCCACTAACGAATTAGTCTGTTAGAAGAGCTTGTTATTCACACCATGAAGAATAGTCTTGTTTATATAACTATAAATTTTAATTTTTACTGAGATCAAACGTTTGGTTTTGTCTGGTACAAGGCCAGAAGTGTAGAGTATCCATTATAATCTGTAAGTAACAGAGATTAGTTTGCCAACATTGCGCCAAGGAGATGCGTTTTTTTTTTTTTTTAACCTCATGTCTCTGGATATTTAGAACTCAATTCGTTTACCTCTAGAGAATTGTGGATATTCAGTTAAATTTAGCTTGGTGCAAGGCTAACGCATCCGAATTCAGTACTAGTTGTGTTATAAAAAAAAAAAAATTATTCTGTGGCTACTTTCTCCTTCCGAATTGGTTTTAATGTTTGTTTTAGATTTTTAATGAAATATGAATTCTTGTTAAAAGAAAAAAAAAAAAAAAAAAAAGATTGTTTCTTTTGATGTTATACACCTATTACTTTCGTTTTTTCTTTCCTCATTGAAAATTCTGTTACAGATAAGATTGATTTGTTCCACCCCCCGACTTCATTTAAATATCCGTGAAAAATTTAACCTCATCCGCTGTTACCTTGGAAATTTGAACCCTTACATAAATACCATTTATGTTTTTCTTAAATAACTTTAGAAATTACATTATAAAATCACTTAAGTTATTTTAGGAAATAAAGTTTATTAGGCAGTAAATAATGACGTTGATACAAGTCCTCAGCGCCATATGACGTATTTGCATGGTCGTGATCCCCACTAACTTAAATTTGGTAGTCTTAAATGTTAGACCTTGTTCCTGTACAAATGATTCACAGTAGGAAAGCAACAACTTGAAACGCTCGTAAAATAAATAAAATAGGCGGTAACATTTATATATTTAGTCGCAAGCTTCTTGGACGAGTAACAGTTGACGTTGCTTAAATTCTGCGATTTTGTGAAGAACTAGCCTTTCCGTGCACAATAAGAAGTCCATTAAGCATTAATTATTCGCATTCATTTGAAATGAGATCAAATATAGTTTAGCTGTTTTTGGTATTTAATAATTAATGTTGAAAAACTATTTTCTAATTATATAATAATTTTTAAAATCAGATTTAAAATGCTAAAGTTTTTTTTTTGTTTAAAACAAAACAAAAGTTCTTTACCTTAGTGTACAAACAATTCCTTTAAGCTTCCATAAAATAAAAAGCTATATCTTTAGGTCCGGCTTACAATTTTCCGTAGTTTTCGGCCTCCTGCAAAACTATCTAGTGAAAAACTATCAGTGGAATAGAAACATGTCTACTTATCTTTTTATTTTTAAACAAAATCGTTATAAAAGTACGAGCGAAGCCTTTCACACTTTAACGCCTGCAATTTTAGGACATTCGCTTTAGAAATATCTTTTTCGTTTTTCAAGAAACAGTTGTTTTTGTAGTCGTGGACGTTATTTCTCTTTGTACGTAAAGAACTGCAGTAATTTATTGTAGGACTGGGCAGTTTATCGTCATAACCCACAGATCTGTATCTTTGATTTTTCTATTTTAAACTGACCCAGTGTCACTTTTGCGCCCGTTCGGGACGGGGTTATAAAAATAACCATTTGTTGTTCAGAAACTTCAACTAGCACATCCTTTTATACAATGAAATGCATCGTTACAGTCTGGCCTAAACGTTAACATTAAAGGAATAATTTTGTGACTTTTAGAATAAGAAACTTCACAATCTCCGTGGCCAGTTAGATTAGGTGGTGGGGTATCTTTCTAGGCTCGTCTCAATCAGAAAACCGGTGTGCCACAGTCCTCCTGTTCGGCTTTATTCCGTATTATATCTAGTGGAAGGAAAATATCCGGATAAGGGTTACTTTTAATCGAAAGCATAATTTTATTGATTATTTTTAGCGATAATACATTAAATTCAATACATTTTAATCAAGATTCTAGTGTGTTATGTAGCTCAATTAAAAATATGGTTTAAATTCGACAAAATGATTAAACAAGGAATAAACAAATATTTACGCACTATTTATTTATAAATGTCAAATTTATAAAGAATTAACTACTTGCTCATATATATCTTAGAAATTTTTAAGTATTCAGTGAATTCTTTATCGCAGAGCACGATTTGGTATTTCGAGTTATGACTTAAATTTATCTCGGGGAAAAAAAAAAAAAAAAAAAATTAATCTTAGGTTAGATTTTCTTGAATTTTAGCTTAAATATTTTTTATTCTTGGAGATTCTTATCACCTATCAATGTCATTTTGTGACGTCATATCTCCCAAGTATCTGATCAGGCGCTGTAGGACAAAGAACTTCCTCGCGAGTTATTTTTTTTTTAATGCTGAATCTTCTAAAACAAATTTAATTCACTTTCAAATTAGCATTTTTATTTTTTA